GAAAGGTAAAAAAATCTTTTATGAATTGCTTATATGTGTCCTAATTGAGCCCTACTGTATGTCTTTTTTCAATCGAGTGAGAGTTGGGATGGCCTCGTAAGATTAGCTCCTGACCAGTGTCCATGTAGGAGGTAAAACTCGTGCCAGTCGTCGAACGAAAGGCCTATTTTGAAATTCACAAGCCTAGGAAATTTTCTAGCTGTGACTGAAACCAGCTGCAGTTTACTTGGTAGTCTCAACTACATTGAAAAGTTTTGTAAGTATCCTGATGTATTACTATTACTCTAGTTCTGGGAAGGACGGGGGGGGGGGGGGGAGGCTGCTGAAGCTCAGTTAAGGTGAAATGATGCCCTGGTAGTATAATCGGTAGCACGACACAAGCACGTAAGGCTAGAGGTGTGAGCATGATTTCCCGCCTGGAACTACAGTTTTGCCCATAACTCAGCTTCTTGTGAAACCAGGCAATCAAGCTTCTTTGCTTCTACGCAGATGTACCTGTTTTTGATTTGCTTCAATTTTTTTGCAGAATCGTTACTTGTGATGAATTCACCTCCGAAAATATCCTTCGACGTGTAAGTCAGATCGACGAGTCTCTAAATCGACAGCTCAGAAAAGGAGTGAGTATTATTTTCTGTATTCCTGTTTACTAGAAGAAGCAACTAGTAAACACTGGATGTTAGACAAGAAGTCTCGAATACAGCCCTACCTTATGTGCTCGAAATAGAAATAACCTTTGAATAAAAGTGAAGTGGGACAGCAAGCGAAAAGGGGGAGGTGAATGCTTCCTGGGGACAATGGGCTTTTTGATGATAGTCTTTGAACAAGTAAAAATTTTGTTCATGTTGCACTTTACATGTTTTTCAATTTACTGTGATTTTTATGCTGTATTTTGTGTTGAACTTATAAATTTCAAGCCTCTGTTCTAAAGTGTAAACGTATGTGTTCTAGCAGCTGACACATTTCTTCATGGCCCTCAAAATGCTCTTATGCAATGTGACCTTCGCTGATGGAAAGAGCAGTATTCAAAAATCCCTACACGCTATGCTTGACACTGAACTTTGCGAATAGAACAAATTAGTTTAGGTGGAAGAAAACCTATCAAGGTTATTAGAACAAACAACAGCTTTGGAAGCATTGGATTGCACACAGCGAAGTGTTCACTCAGAAATGAACGAAGTGTACGAAGGTTGTGATAGGTAGATCACTTCAATTTTCGCCTACAACTTTCGCTACTTGTCATGATTCTATCTATTTAAGGTTTGCGAAAACACTTGACTCGCTGCTCAATGATTATCGCAATTTGACCGCGAAGCTTGAAAGAATAATTTGTGGAAGAATCTTGCAACGGCATGCCAGGTTCTCAATACTTGAGCTTGCTCTCTACTATATGTATGCCAACTCTTCTTTAATTTTGAGGTGCTTTTTTATTCAGGTGCGAGGAGTTGTTGGACTCACTAGAAAAGCGGAATGAGATTGTCAAACGCTCTGAAATTATCAGCGAAATTAAAGGAGTAGTAGCGGACAACACAGATTTGCTGTCGATTTCGTGGCTTCGAGAATCTCTAACAACACGTCTGAAAGCCATAGAAAATGAGGTACACATGTGGAGTAATTTAAGCAAAGCTTGGGCTTATGTAAGGTTAGGCTCGGAGTGCATGTTCTGCCTTGAAAAGCACACGAACGTAGGTAAAAATGTCATTCTAGATCTTGGCGTTAGAATGTGTATGTCTTTCAACAATGAGGTGTTTTCCTTGAGAAAGATTATTGGTTTCGTCCCTCGGTGTACTAGACGGGGTGAAGTTGTAGGACGATTGAATAAGTCAGAGTAAAAAAAAAACCAAGCAATATTCTACGGCATCATGCTAAAATCGATAATATGTTTAACAGATCATTTATTATCAACATTTCAGGTGCGCCGTGTCTGCTGCCGATGATATGCGTCGAGGTCTCGTTAGCCTGAACGCTTCTCTGATTGCTTCGGCCATCAGAGCTCTGGAAAATCTTGGAGTGCTTGAGGGTAATTTCCTCCTATTCTTTTGTGCTCAACAGTAGCTATTTAGGTAGATACTATAGTGAGTAGAGTAGGTGAATAGGCTCATTCTATTTTGGTACAGTTCTCTGACGATATTTTTACTGCCGCTGCTAAAGTTCATGCAATTTAATTACAGCTGAACTCGAGGTGCAGTTGTCATCAGCGGCCGCAGAGGTTGATTTGAGACTGGTGGAGTTGTCGTCATCTTCTGAAAATAGTGTGCGACTCCTTCAGCAATGCGTTAATCTTATACATTCACAACTTGAACAGTGTGCTTTATTAGGTGAACCTTCAAGTCGTTTGTTGATAGCATCTTTCTTCGTTTCACAAGAGAGTTCTTCAATTTTCGCTGTCTTCTACGGAAAACGTTCAATTATGCCGCATTCAGGCAAAACTCAAATGATGAAATTCGTTGAAAAATTAGCACGAATTCTCCGTGCTCGTGTACCTTCGGATGCACCTTTCGGCTTGAGGTACCATCTTTTTTCTTCTTAGGTTGGCCCTATTATTATAACCCTCAACTTCTTAGATTACATCTCTTTAAGTCTCTTTTAGATTCGTCCAGCAGATGAGTCGGGTGCTCAACGCGCGACCGGAATGCGCGGGACCGCTTATTGAGGCCCTACGTCCACTCAAAATCTCTATTTTGAGTCAATCATTGGCCAGACTTCACCGAATAGTAGAACAGCACGACTTTACCACCACACAGAACTGGGTCTTTGTGGACGTGGTTTGTTAAACAATCTCTAATACTCGATTTGAAGTTCACTGTTTGTCCATGTTTTAGTTGATATCGGCCGTTGAAGAAGAAACGAAGCGACTTGAGTGGGATAACGAGCTCCGAGACGAGACCGAGAGAAATATCCAGAAATGCCTCAGTATGGTTGCGAAGCGCTTGGAGTCCGAGTTGAAATTGGATCCAGAAAATTTACTTCTAGGTAAGTTCCATGAAGACCAGTTAAAGCAACACCCCCAGATCGATTTGGTGTTGTAAAAGCGGTTGATAGTGAAATTTTGCCGAGTTGACTGCAAATG